CGAGGACACCAAGACAGTCTGATTACAGATGTTATTAATCAGTTTGTGGTGCTGGGGGGCACTATAACTTATCCTCAGAACCATGTTGCTTTGTGTTCATACTAGTTTGCCACCACAACAACTTTATCACAATTGCCAAATGTGAATTATAACATTTGCTCCTTTTTTCCAGTCTTTGGCCCTGATGATTCTCGCTTGCAACTAAGCGTTCTATGTATCCCCCCCTTTTAATCGAACAGATGTTCTGTTATTTCCAATTTTTGTCAGTATTTATAAATTTGAGTTTTGAGTCACCGTTCTGCTTTAGTTTAGACTTATGATGTTTGTTTTATCTGAAAGTCTTTTTTTCACTTTTCCAAAAACAAGAACATAAAAACGGGTTGTGCAAGAAAACAGTGACGTCATTGCTAATCCTGCCAAAATGGTTTGAAATGTACGGATTTTTAAAAAGCTTCATTTTACTATGATTTAATGACTTTGATCTTAACAGCATGAGCCAAGTTTGGTGTATTTAGTTAGAATCCACATACTTTCTGTGCTTTGGATCATAAAACTTGAAACTATTTGCTTGCGTGATTCCATCAGTGTCAGTTCCAGCAAGCTTCCTCTCGGTGGCAGTGTTGCATTAGTCATGGAGTCTTGTCCTCTTCTTCCAGAGCCGCTGCACTGGAGCAGTTCAAGTCCCTGGGTGCCGAGCCCCTGGAGGTGGATATGAAGGAGTCAGGAGAAGGCCAGGGCGGTTACGCTAAGGAGATGTCCAAAGAGTTTATCGAGGCAGAGATGAAGCTGTTTGCCAAGCAGTGTTTGGATGTTGACATCATTATCACTACTGCGCTTATTCCCGGTACGCACACCTGCAGCCTTCACTCCCTTTCCATCTTTTTACCGACACATGCCCTCTTAGGCATGTACTCTTGCAGTTAAATGATGTGGTGTTTGCACATGCTCTTATTTTTCCATCACTTGACTTTTAAAGGAAGAGTTCAGCCAGAAATCTAGATTTTTCTCTTTATTTACTCATTACTTAATTTTTTTCCTGTGAAATACACAAAATAATATTTTTTTTCTTAGGCTGTCAAGTTCCGAGGGCCCAAAAAGCAGCATACAATAGTCTCTATAGTTATATTCTAAGCCTTGTGAAGATGTGTGTGAACTTTTATAAAATTTTCTAACTTCCTTCACCTTTGCTGTTGCTTTCCAATAAAATATGATGTCTTGGCATTTGTTATTGATGTCCAACCTGCATCATAGACGCTACATTTGGTTTGAAGGGTAAATAACTGCTGGCAATATAGGATTTTAATAAAGGTTGGCTGTTTATTTATTTATTTATTTTATTTTTTAATTGGTGTAACAATACTGGAGAAAACAGAAAAGGGCTGTGGTGAAAAAAAGGTAGGCTCGATCAGACTATCCTTGAGCGGGGATACAAAAATGTGCAAGTATGATCTGTAGTTTTCACAAAAGTCCTGAAGCTGTTGAAAAACACTTGCTGACAAATATGCTGACAAATTATGATTCTTAAGTTCCTTTTCCTGCGTTTCATGGAAAAATAATGGCATTTTGGTTTAGAATGACTTGATGGTGAGTAAATGTCAATTTCAAGTTTTGGTATTCACTATCCTTTTAACTGTGATCCTGGTTTATCTTAAGATCCTTATGTTAATACTTGTATGACTGTCGTTGGCATTTTAAAAGAGAAACTGTTTACCCGGCATAACTAATTATGTACTGCATAATTACCAATTTAACAGCTCTGTGGCTGCAGATGTGCTTCATGTTTATTCGAAGCATGTTTTGTCTTAATCTCCATGACTGAGAGCTAATAAAAATCAGGTGTCTATAACAGAGAATGTTTATGAAGTTTCCCGAGTGCTATAAGAGTTGCTTTGGGTCGCTCTTGCTTTAGATTGGCAGAGTTTGTGTTGCTTGTTCAATACCGCTGGCATTTGAAGTCAGTTCCTGTGACTTTTGCATGCTTGTGCACACTCCTGGTGTCACTCCAATGTTATTTTATTTCCGTCCCTGAAGCCATGTAGGCTGTAGCCACCAGTTGGACTTTTAGTACTTAGAAACTACATACCTGGCAGTTTTTAGCATGCTCAGATTGGTAAAATGCATGCGATCTGTTCCACTTTTATCGGAATACCATTTTCTTTTAAAACCAACAAGCCGCAAAGCAGCTTATCAGTATATTAGGTTGCACGCATAAAAGGCACATCAGAGGAGTCTTATTAAATGCATATCAGTCATGGTTTTGGTTTACCAGTCTCACTGTGCTGAAATTATTATGCAGGTCGGAAGGCCCCTGTGCTGATTACTAAGGAAATGGTGGAGACCATGAAAGATGGTTCAGTGGTGGTAGACCTGGCTGCAGAAGCTGGGGGCAACATCGAGACCACGGTTCCTGGAGAACTCTCCGTTCACAAAGTGAGTACACTGCAACAGAACAACAACTTGGGGGTCTTACATGAGCTTCATGTGTTTTTCAGGAACATTAATGGGTTAGTAAGGTATTTTTTCTTTTTCTGTTTTTATGTAGTTTAATTCAGAATTAATGCATTAAATTAATCAAGTGACATGAAGTTCAAATTTGAAAGAATCTGAATGTTGATCATTTCTAAAAAAGTCTATTTCAAATAAATGCTGTTCTTTTAAACATTCTCATTTACTCTACATTTATGCATTTGGCAGACTTTTTTTGTCCAAAGCAGCTTGCATTTAAAGTATACATTTCATCAGTTCATGCATTCCCTAGGAATCGAAACCATGATCTTGGCGTTGTTAGAGCCATGTTTTACTGTTTGAGCTACAGGAATGGAAGCTTTCTATTCATCAAAGAATTCTGGAAAAAAATGCATCACATTTACTTCAAAATTAAGCAGCACAACTCTTTTCAACATTGATAATAATAAGAATTAATTACTGAAGGATGATGTGGCACTGAAGACTGGAGTAATGATGCTGAAAATTTAGCTTTCTTAAGATATATTACAATAGAAAACTCTTATTGTAATAATATTTTTACAATTACTGTTTTATTGTGTTTATTAATGCAGTATATAGTATAAATAAATAGATGCAGCCTTGGTGAACATAAGTACGGTGCCCTTAAGGTGACACGTTCGGTTCACTTAGTTTTGTCGTGGCCACGGCATAATAACTCGTGTGAACGTGATATGTCGTGTCATATTGATCATTTTGTCAAGGTAACGACATCCTTATGTCGTGGCCTCGAGATGCTATGTTGAGGGAACGACATCCATTTCTCGTGGCCACGACTTCTTATGTTGAGGGAACGACATCCATTTCTCGTGGCCACGACTTCTTATGTTGAGGGAACGACATCCATTTCTCGTGGCCACGAGTTTAATGCGTAAACAAACCTGCGTGACCATAGCAACCCGGGATTATCAAAAATAGATAAAACATTTTTATTAACATTAAACATTTAATTTAATATTTGTATATTATTATTATTATTATTACATTAACTTATTAGGGCTATATTATTATATTTATTGTTATATATGATTATTTCCCCTTTCAATTTGTGTATCGCTTTACCTAGTTAACGTTTTGTATAATTATGCTAGCATTTGCTAGTTATCGCTTTACCTAGTTAACGTTTTGTATAATTATGCTAGTATTTGCTAGCCTACCATATATTTTGTAAATAAACGCCTGACAATTATGCCAATAAAGTTTTGACTTTATGATTGTATTTATGGCAATGTGTGATGATAAATGAGCGTGTTGGTTTTTCATTTACAAATGAAACTACGTGCAAGATTAATTCCTCAACGAAACACTATAGTAGCCTATTTATAATTATGGTCTATTAGCCAAAATAAAATGAAATGTATGTTAAATTTAAACTGCATTCCAGCAAAAATTCCAGTCAGCATAATCAAAGCTTTATTGGCATGTCGAGCATTTACAGTAGGCTATTATTTACAAAAGTATTCCAAACGTTAAGTAAAGAGATCGAAATGAAGGGAAAAAATGAATATAAACGAATATAAAAATATAACCAATAATAATAGGCTAATAATAATAATAATAATAATAATATACAAATATTATGGGGAAAAGGCGATCAGTTAATTGACTTACAAGACTGTAGGATGGATAAAAATTTTTTCTTGTAGGCCTATTTTATATTGTGCACTTTATGTAACATTTATTCATGATAAACTTCAATTGAATGCTGACTATCGCACGTAATACAGTCCGGTAACCAAGGCCTATGGCTAATATAATAATTTAATAATGTAATAATTTCTATAATAAATAATATAATAATTTCTTAATTCAAAATAAAATATTAATGAATCCATCTCTGATAATCCGGTGTTGCTATGGTCACGCAGGTTTGTTTATGCATTAAACTCATGGCCACGAGAAATGGATGTCGTTCCCTCAACATAGCATCTCGAGGCCACGACATAAGGATGTCGTTACCTCGACAAAATGATCTCGTGGCCATGACATATTATCACGTTCCCACGAGGTATGTCGTGGCCACGACAAAACTAAGTGAACCGAACATGTCACCTTACGGGCACCGTACATAAGAGACTCCTTTAAAAAAAATATATATATATATATCGTACCACCCGGAATCTTTTTAATATTGGTGTATACTAGGGGTGGGAAATATGGCAAAAATATCATATTTTTTTAGAAATTTCATTATCACAATTTTTTGTCATGTTGTTTATACTATTTTGTCTGAGCATTACAGCCAAACTAATTTCCCTATTATAAAGACAAAGCCTTTCAAGGTATAACAAAATATAAAAAAGAATGGCCAAAAATTTAGGCCAAAGTGGGCGAAGATAAAAATCTTTAAAAAAAATAAGAACAAATATACACATTACAAATACACATAATATACAAATAAAACAAACAGTGTTTTATTTTCAGGTACAATATTGCAGGAGCATTCAAGAAATTGAATAAAAAAATATCAAAATAACAGACTAAATAGATTGATTCCTATTAAAGCAACCGTATTGAAGTTTTTCAGTCAAGAGTAGCGAGGGATTTTTCTCATTGTGTTTTGTTGTTTTATTAACGTTCAAGAAATAGTTCACCCAAAAATAAAAATTTTCTTATCTGTCTGTCAATTCTGTCATAGTGTTTTATTGTTATACCATCATTTACTCACTCAAAAGTTGTTTTAAACCTGAATGAGTTTCTTTCTTCTGCTGAACATAAAAGTTATTTTGAAGAACGTGGAAAAACCAAACAGTTGCTGGTCCACAGCGACTTACATAGTATTTTTTACTACTATTAAATTCAATGTGGACCAGCAACTGTTTGGTTTACCCATATTCTTCAAAATATCTTCTTTTGTGTTCAGCACAAGAAAGAAATTAATACAAGTTTGGGACAGCATGTGAGTGAGTAAATAATGACAGAAATTAAATTTTAGGATGAACTATCCCTTTAATGACAGTCGGCAGCGTGTTTAGTACTGTCCCTTTAAGACCTGCATGCATCTAATATACAGGCACGCATCCATTTTCTCTCAACTGTTTACTTTCATTTTAGACATAACCAACTGAGCCTAAATGTAAACCTTGTGTGTTTTGACAGTATTAGCGCAAATTATAACTTGGTTCAGAAATCAGGTGCTGTTTGACAGGCTTTTTATGTGCTCAGAAAAAGCGCACGTCAGAACAGCATGTGAATGAAACATTTAACTGGCAAGGTTTTAAAGCAAATATGCAAATAATGTACTTTTGTGACTGCACATAAGTCCTGTGAGTGTAACTCTACCGCTAACACTGAATGTATGTCGCGTTGTACAGTAAATTTGCACCAGAACTGCAGCTGATAGAATGTGCACTGTAGCACGATACTACGATATTTCTTCAAAAGCAGATCGTGGAGACATTTATATCGGCCACGATCAAAAATCGTCATATCGCACACCCCTAAGTGTATACTTCTTATTTCATTAAATTTATTTCTGTACTTTCCTATAGGGTGTGATCCACGTTGGCTATTCTGATCTTCCCAGTCGCCTCCCGACTCAGGCCAGCACATTATACTCTAACAACATCATCAAACTCATCCGAGCCATCAGCCCGGACAAGGAAGTTTTTCACTTTGACATCAAAAACGAGTTTGATTACGGCACAATGGACCATGTCATCCGCGGTTCAATCGTTATGCAGGTAAACCTTTTTTTTTATATAATCTACATTGGTTTTTTTTGTTTTTTTTAGCTACAGGAGGACATATAAACACTCTTAATTTTGTTACATGTTATAGGCCACATCCTAAATCAGTAACCTTTCTTTCAATTATATACGAAATTTGGCACTCAAACATCTAGCAAAATCATGTTTTTCAGTTGAAATTGCATCTGTGGGAGCCACAGCTGTCCCAGGGCAACATATCTCACTTTGAGATTTGACATTTACTGATATAAGGAAAAATTGTGTGAATGTTGTGTGAATAACACATGAATAATAATTATTATTATTATTAGCAACCATTTTTTTTTAATTGAATTGAGCAAATTTAATCCATTTTGTTATACCGAAATACTGGTGAAATAAGCATCAAAATTGTTTCTGGACTTGTCGTGCGTGCGTTCTCCATGGATAAACTAAAGTTTAACAAATACAAAAATGTGGCCGGCATAAGATGATGTTTTAATCCAGTCTGGCTGTTGACCTAAAATGGGTTTGACACCCCTGAGCTAAAGGATGTGAGCAGTTTGAAATTTATGACCCAATATCTCTCTGGCGCTCATTTAGCTTTCAAGGAGTTGAGTTGTGGTGTTATTTGAATTCTGGCTGTCACTCTCTCTGTCTGTGTGCAGGACGGAAAAGTGCTTTTCCCTGCACCACAGCCTAACAGCGTTCCAGTGGCGGCACCTCCAAAACAAAAGACAGTCCAGGAGCTGGCGAAGGAAAAGGCAGCTTCCATCTCACCCTTCAGAGCCACCCTCAACACGGCTGGGATGTACACCGGAGGTAAATCACAGTCCGGCTGCCCTTCCTGCCTTCCTCTTCCCACCGGATCTCTCCGGGTCCCTCCTGGGGTTAATATGAAAGCGGCTCCCTGTGTGTTTTAAGAGGAAGAGACTGCTGTATTGGTGGTCTCTGACACTGAACTATGTTAATAAGGTTTTCGTGTAAGTTTAAAACGGCCCCCTTTATTGCCTTTTTTATCCACTTAACAGTCTGCATTGCTCAGAAATCCCCAAAATAGCAGCTCCCCTGTTTGTCCGCTTTGTCCCAAGATGTGATTAGACTCCAAAGCCCCGCTAAACTAAACGGCACACAAATGAATTCTATTGGTTGCAGACGCCTGAGGACCACTTGTGTGAGGAGAGGCAACTTTGGCTTCACATCAAAGCGCTCACTTCCTCACTCAGACAAGCCGCAAATACAACTCGCACGTAAATAAACACCGGCTGATAAACAAACATGCAAATGAGATTTTCCTGCCCTTTCATGGTTTTCCTGTATCTGTATGAGCTTAGGTACAGGGAATCCTGACTTGCTCGGAAGGCCAAAATCGCTGCCTTTTTAAAAATCACGATTGGTCACCTAATTGAGGAGCAAGCTGTTTTATTTTCCACATCACCTTGGCCCGTTCTGGCATCTGAATGCCAGGATCTTGGGATGGTTGTGTTGTTCCTTTCCTCCTGCTGTGTAGAGGTTTTCTTACCCACATGGCCAATGGCTGGTCTGTGAGTTGGCAATACCAAATTGGCAATACCTATTATTAATACCACTGGAAATAATAACAATAATAATTTTGTTAATTTATTTATGTATATCACACACACCAGTAGATTGAATTAATATTATCATCATCATCATTATTTTATATAAATATAGAATATATAAATATAATATTGAAAAAATATAATAAATATATAATTATTAATTTGTATTTATTTATTTATAACTATGAATATAACTATAATATCAGTATTTGTTGTTGTTGTTGTTGTTATAATTTTTTATTTATAAATAAATAAACTATGAAATCTTATATATTTTCCAAAAAGTAGTTATGGGAAGTTTTTTCCAGCTTAATACACTTATTTTTAACTTTAAAGTTTTAAAATTGAATGAAGCAGACAGCAAATGTACCCTATATTAGATTTGAGGTGGCAAGTATACATGACCCACAGCAGTGTTGATGTTTTGAGAGGATTATGGGATGTATAAACTGGACACATTGCCCCTGGCACTCGGCTGATTTGTCTGAGCAGTCAAAATTACCTTAACTGAAAAACAAACCTATAATGTTTGACATCTTGTTATTTCTACTCAGGTCTGGCTTCAGCCATCGGTCTTGGGATATGTGCTCCCAATGCTGCTTTCCCTCAGATGGTTACAACCTTTGGCCTGGCGGGAATCGTGGGATACCACACCGTATGGGGCGTCACTCCTGCTCTTCACTCCCCGCTTATGTCTGTCACAAATGCCATTTCTGGTAAGTTAGTAAATCAAGTGCACAACCAAAGGGAAAGTATTTGCTATTATATAATTTGCTTAGTAATTGCTAACCTGAATGGCTTTTTCTTTATCATATTATGTATGTAAATTTACTGAGAAACTGTTGATGGAGGTGGAGAAACTATTGAAATTTCTGATAATAAATTTTGAAATGTCACAGGATCTCAGTTTATCTCAAGCACAGGTCATCAAAGCGCTTTTTCTTAATCTGAGTTTGCCCTTTAGCTACGGAGGGCTCTCAACTGTGTGTGAATTACCCATTTGCTTTAATGGGCAAAAAATGTCACCTAATTTTTTTCCCCCTCCCACCCTTGAGTTAGCGTCTGCGATGGGCCGACGTAGCCCACCCGTTAAGTGGCGAATTCAGCTCTTCATTAGTCTAGACTTAAGGGCCCAGGGTTCAGCACTGTTCAGAAGGCCACGCCATCATCAGCCAGGCAGATCAAGGATGCTTCTGTGCTTCGTTAAGCTTTTATTAATTTCTCCCAGCGGGCTGAGAAACCAGGAAAGGTTTCATTATTTTTAACACCACCAAGTCCTTGGTGGTCTGCATTAAAGAGTCCTTTATGTCAAGAAAGCTATAAACTTCACATCAAGAGTGCGGGGAATCAACTGAAGCAATTAGTTTCCCTTGACCTACTGCACACTTCCTGTGAATTACTTTATTAGTCTTGTAGAGACAGTCTCTTGCTTTTCTTTGTCATATTTGCGTATGAGGTGTTACATATTTGACACTTATTGAACTGTGTATTTCACAGGCCTGGAAATGTAAGCGAGTTGGAATTCGCTTATTTCGGTGCCAAAAGTAATGAAGCTCTCACAAAAGTGACCGGGACGTTAAGCCACTAATGTGGAATTTCTCATTCTCGTTGAAAGTGTGGGAGAACTTTTCCAGAAGCATAAAGTTACTCCTGGTGGAGTAGAGTTCCTCTCTTGCTCTTTAATCTACCTGAAACTGGTGAATCAGAATGACTCCACATCGCTTGATATGAACGTTTGGACATCACCCGATCCAAGGAATCTTTTCTGATGAACTTATGCTATTAGATATTGGTTTTGGGTCCATTTTGTCGACGTGTTGGTGACCTAATGGATGTGTCATTGCTTAAAACAGCCGTGCTTTCCAAACACCTCATCGCATTATTCTCCATGATCACAGAAAGTCAGAAATATTATCCAGCCATTAGAACAACAGCAATCCATTTGTGGATTTTGAGCAGACTCCAGCATCTTTCATATTCATCCAAGGGTTTTATTTTACAGATATCCAGGCCTTTGCATGTCTGGGTGCGTGTGTGGCGGTTCGTGCCTGTGTAGGTTTACAAATCGTCTGTTGTGTTTCCTGCAGCGTTGTGGTAGCGTGCTCTTGGCCTGCAAGCTGGTCTGTGATCAATTGTTACTTCAGAATTACAAAGTGAGAGGAAATGCTTACCAACAGTTACACACTTCATTGACTTAAGATACCGCTAACTATCAGGGCCACCTCAGGTTTGGTCAGTCGAGTCGATGCATTTGAAGCATTTGAAAACGATTAAAGAGGTGATGGTTATCAGATTTCCCTTGGGGGATGCCAGTGTTGTCCTCATTAATTCCCTATCAAAATGAGTTACAAGTGACTTGTTTTGAGCACTGAGAGTGCTGTACCAGTGTCAAGCATATTATGTAAGACTTCTAGTGGAATTATGCTTTATTAGAGGGTGAAACTGACTGGAAGAGGTGTCATAAGCCTTGTTTTTCTGACTTGAAATAGTCACAGTTTCGAAGCAAATCTGGAAACTAATGCAAATTCCATCTGGTGAATTGTCAGAAATATTTATCCATATATGCTTTATTAGTCAGCATGGATGGAATAATTACATCTGGCTCCAAAAATCTTTCTCCATAGACTCCATAGCATAGCTATTCCACGATAGCGCTGTATTCTGATGAAATGCTAATTTTTGCAATCAATGTCACTAATATTTGTGTAGTAAATGTAGTATCTAGTAGGGCTGCACGATAAATCGAAATAAAATCGAGATCGCGATTCGACAGAAGCTGCAATTGTCATGCGTATCTTTCAGTGAAGCACGGTTCTGTGATCAGCAGTAAATCTCCATCCAAAGGCCAGAGGGCGCTCTCGCGCTGAAACTCCAAATACGCCTCGCAGAAGAAACCCAGAATCGCTGCAGCTGAATAAACAGAAGATTCAACTGCTTTCATTGATTCAACGTGACTAATAAAACATACGACTACGGCAATATACGGTTTCTTATTATTATAATTTTCATTAAAATAAAGTATATTTATAATGCAATGCCTTTATCACTGCTTAAATACTATGAAATATGTTGACTGCCTTATTCAGTGTCAGAAGCCACATCATCTCACAGAAGGATTTATTTCAAACACTCGACTGACGTTATGAAGTGAGTTTGGAGTAAAAATATGTTATTAAATGTGGTATTTTCACATGCTTTCAGATGGAGCAGCATTTATTTCACAGAGCCGTAGTTCACTGAGAAGCTATGCAAACAGCTGTCATAATCGCGAACGATTTAATCGATTTCAGAATCGCGTAATAAAATCATCTGCAAATTTATTTATTTATTTATTTATTTTTGCGTAACTTGTCAGTGAACTATGGCTATGTGTAATAAATTCTGCTGATTACAGAACCGGCTTTACTAACAAAATGCGCACAACAATCGCATTCGATTAATCGTGCAGCCCTAGTATCTAGTATATAAAGTGTAGTAGCTATTGTCAGCACCTGTATTTTTTATTTTAATAAGTTGAAAGATGAATATAAAAAAAATATAAAATATAATATAAAAATTTATTTTAAACTACATTTGTTTTGAAAATCCCTTCCTTCCTTCCTAATTTGTGGAGTATTCTGATAAAATGTGATTTTTTTTTTTTCAATCAACATTTTTATTTTAAAATGAATTAAGATTATTTTAATTATTTTGATTAGATTAAAATTCATTTATTCTTTCAACCATTTAAAATTAGTGATGTGTTCTCATGCAATGCCAATTTTTGCAGTCAATATATGTTGCTAATCTTTTATTATAGTGTAGTAGCTGTTATCAGCACGCAATATTTTTTTTAATTAATTTTATAAAATTTATTTTGAGACAATTTTTTTTAATTAAAATATAATTAAAATTACTATTTGAATGTTTTATATATTAATTTTAAATTAGGATTCTTTTAGTATTTCAAGAAATACATTATTTAAAATGTAAGAGTTTTTTTTATTTTTTATTATTAAAATATTATAAAATTTATTACAATTTAAATATATTTTTTGTTTGTTTGTTTGCGGATATAACACGGATGCCATGTGTTTTCAGGTTTGACTGCTGTTGGTGGCCTCTCCCTCATGGGTGGTGGATTTCTCCCTAGCAGCACAGCCGAGACCCTGGCCGTACTGGCTGCTTTCATCTCCTCTGTCAACATCGCTGGTGAGTGCACTGAACACACGATCCTGTACCAGCCAACAGCGAAAGGCAAGATAAAACATTGCTAAAATGTATGTCGGAGGCTGAAAGCTGAGTAAGATTACAGATGCGAGCAGATGAGGGCTCTGTACTCGCTGCCCTCTGGCTGCCCTGCATCTTGTGTTCGTGAGAAGAGCGCCGTATTCCGTTCCTTCCAGGTGGAATAGTTTAGTCCGTCAAACCTCACACCTGAAATGGGAAATGTCAGCACGGCAGTTTTGCTTCAAAGAGCCTCGTCATGTCATAAATCAGTCTCTGATCAAAACCAACCAATAGGGCCATTAAGGAGGAAAAGCTAAAAAAAATGGCTTGAAGCAGGCAGTTGGCCAAAATGCCATCCTGAATCCAATGACCCCTTCATTTTGCGTCTTGGTACGGTTGGCCAAGACACCAGTCCAGGTCAGAGGGTGAGTTAGTGATTTAATGGCATGCTACTAGGCTTTTACAGACATTTTTCATCATGCTACAATAACAGCTTTTTGATATGTGTTCCAGCGCACATAAAATGTCTGAATTTATATATATTTATCTTCTCAGAAGGCAGGTGTTTAATTTCAGTTGAAAGATGGTTTTTGTTATTTCCATTCCTCATACACGGTGTTTCGTCCCACAGTCCCATTACCCATAAACCTTAGAGTTAGAAATATGGACATTCTGGTCGCTTTTTCCTATCCTCTTTTCGACTAATTTTATTGTTACAAGTGCATACAGGGGAAAAATAACAATTGCCCTTTCCAATTTAATTTCAATAAAAGACAAGGAATTTATGGTGAACCTGCTCCATTAATGACAGGAATGAAAACATATTTTATTCTTTGGCCCGGCTGTAATGTCTGGATATCCTTCACATTTAATTGTGGGGAAACGGAACGTTCTTTCTAATGCTGTATACATTGTGTTCAACCGTCTAAGTGCATTTACTTCTGAGTTTAAATATTTCACCAGGATCCTCAGAGGAACGGGTCACTAAGGTTTGAGTGAAACTGGATATCCATCTGAGTTTCGAATAAAAAGCTTTGGTTTGGGAATCGTCCTAGTAAGTTGCTTAGCTAGGACGGCGTAAGCCAGGAAAATGAATGTAAATGCAATCACATGGCAGTTTAAAAATACTTCGCTAATGAGCAGCAGATGAGTGACTCCCGTCATTCTTCATGTCGTCCTTCTGCAACTCAAATTAGGATGTTTTACACATTTAAATGACTTGATGTTAAAAAAAGTTATATATATACATTTTATATAATGTTAATAACTTGTGTACTGTGTTTATACTGTGTTCTGTTTGTTTGATTTTGTTTGATCAGGTGGTTTCTTGGTTACTCAGAAGATGTTGGACATGTTCAAGCGGCCCACTGATCCTCCAGAGTACAACTACTTGTATCTTCTTCCTGTTGGTTTGTTTGTTGGAGGTTATGGGGTGGCTCTTCAAAGCGGCTACAACATTGAACAGGTAAAGCTGCATTACTTAATTGCAACTCTTCTGCACTTTTTGTACTGTGGACCTGAATTTTGCCTCAAATCATGCAACTTGTTGAGTTACTTTGGTTCATTCGTTCGTTTATTTATTTATATAGCACCTTACAGGCTACAAAGTAGCTCCAAAGTGCTATACATTTGCTGTACAACATCCATATACTAATGTACTAAAATGCCAGGGAGTACAAATATGATTTTAAACGGTCCTTAAAAACATTAAGAGTTACGGAAGATCTAACATTCAATGGCAGATTATTCCACAGTCTTGGGCCAGCGATAGAGAAAGCATGATCACCCTTCAATTTGAGACGTGCTCTGTGAATTGTTAAAAGAAACTTGTTTGATGATCTTAGTATTACGCCTGAACTAAGCTCAGCTAAGTTCCAACTTGCACTTCTCAATATAGCAGACGATAACAGACAAAAAAGTTGCATATAGTTACAGTGAAGACAGTGTTAAAACTATTACAAATAATTTTTGTTAATCGAAATAAAGCTGAAATAAAAAACAATAAATATAAGATGTAAAAACTCTTTTTATTTTATCTTTTTAAACTTTTTATTTCTAAACTTTTTTTTATTTCAGTTAGTTGCCATGGCAATGTTTTTAATTTTTTGTTTATGTTGAAGTACTAAAACTACTAAAATAAAACTGAAATAAAAATAAATGAATGTTAAATGGAACTATTAATAATAATAATGACAGAAGCTCATAACAAATGAACACAAACTAAAATTAAAATGAAAACTGAAAATATATCTTGTATTATATAATGTAACAGTGTATATAAATAAAACAAAAATAACACTGGTTGAAGGAGGGATGTAATCTAGTGACCAGAATATCAAAGATGCATAGCAACATGATAAATTCAACTCAGAACACCATAGTAACTTCCTGGCCATGGTGAACTGTAGTTGTGCAAAAGAGAAATGGATTCTGGAAGATTTATTTCCTCACTTCCTGTAAACCTTCCCTTTGTGTGCAGATGATGTACTTGGGCTCTGGCTTGTGCTGCGTGGGGGCTCTGGGGGGTCTGTCCACCCAGTCCACGGCCCGTCTCGGTAACACCCTGGGCATGATCGGAGTGGCCGGTGGCATTGTCGCAACTTTCGGAGCACTAAAACCTTCCCCTGAGCTCATGGCACAGATGAGTGCAGCCATGGCGGTGGGTGGCACTGCTGGTGAGTACATGTGTGTGTGCTTCTGTCTGCGTGCATTTCTTCTTTAGTCAGTGGCCTTTGAACCTCCAAGTGTGTGAATGTAAATGGCAAATGGCTTTGTGATTTCCCCGCAAAGCCAGGTAATGGTCATCAGGTCGTGTGAGTCACACAGCACGGTATCACGCTTTGTAGCCAGTCATGTCTAATCTAAATTGCTAATTATTCCTGGAAACCTGCTGGAACGTAGTTTAAACCGTCCCGACCAGCCCCAGCTCAAACCAGAAGTCTGCTTGATTCCAGATGCTTCCACCCTGAGGTCTCAGCCCGCCCCAAACATGCCCCCTACACACTCTTTTCCCCAACCTGCACTCCAGATTCACATCAACACACACACCGCTTCATCGGATGTGACCCGTTTACCAGCAGGCCTGAATTCCCCTTTCTTGTTTACAGGTTTGACCATCGCCAAGAAGATCCAGATTTCGGACCTGCCGCAGCTTGTCGCCGCTTTCCACAGTCTGGTGGGATTGGCGGCCGTGCTCACCTGCGTGGCAGAGTACATGGTGGAGTATCCCCACTTTGCAACTGACCCTGCGGCCAGCCTCACCAAGATCGTGGCCTACCTGGGGACCTACATCGGTGGAGTCACCTTCAGCGGATCTCTGGTGGCTTATGGCAAACTTCAAGGTCCTGCTTGTTTGGTTATATAATAACAATTAAAGGGATAGTTCACTCGAAAGTGATAATTCTGTCATAATTCAGTCACCTTCTTGTTACAAACCTGTATGACTTTTTTACTGTGTAATACATAAGAAGATATTTTGAAGAACAGCTTATGTTCGTAAAATGAATGTCAGGGAGTCCAAAACAAACTGTTGTTTTGTCCATACAATGAAAGTCAATGTGGCCCAGAGACATTTACTGCGAACTGAACTGCTCCGAGATACTAAAACACAGGATCATGAGCTGATCACATATAAAAGAGCACAGTGCCACGCTTCACTCTGAAATACGCAACGCATCTATTAAATTAATTAAATGAGAGGCTTTTTGATTTGATATTTGCACTAGGGATATTGTGGCTCAGTTTTATTTCTATTAATTGTGCAGCCCTATTAGAGATCCCAATGTTGTGGGTCCAGGTCCTCCTTGTCTGGTGCAGCTTTGTTTGTTAAATCACCGGCCCATCGGTGCCACACATGCCTCATGTTTAAAGCTTGGCCAGGCGGAACCTCTCAGAATTTGGCACTAATTAGTCCCTCCGCCCCCCAGTAATTTTCCACTTGTCCCTCAAAGCTGGAACGCATAATCTTCAGGAGCTTTCCCATTCCTCAACCACTACAACCGCTCTGAAGCCTGCAGGCCTTCGCTGATAAAACAGATTAGAAGTCTCATTTTTATCCTTGTGAGTTTTTCTTTCAGCCTAAAAGTGGGGCCGGTGTAGAATACTGTACATAATCACCCAATCCAGCTGTATTGCTAACCTGTTATGCAGCTGATGCTAAAGAGTTTTTGATTCAGCTCCTACTGAATTTTTCCTGTGCACACATACTTGTCTTGGGCTGATGATATGTCTCGTACATATTCTAATAGTTTACAGAGCGCTAGCAGCTGCTTAAAGAGCACTTTAACAACATGACGTACTTTTGTTTAAAGCACGACTCAAACAAGCTTCTCGTTTCCAAGAAGTTCTCACCCTAATTTTATTTCACTCATCGTGTTCCCAAACAGCACATGTTGTCCGGTGTACGTGCTAACCCACTTTTTGTGTTGCTCTTCTCACTTGACTTCCTCCTCTTGCAGGTCTCCTGAACTCCGCTCCCCTTATGCTTCCTGGTCGTCATGCGCTGAACGCTACCCTCATGGCAGCCAGTGTGGGCGGCATGATCCCCTACATGCTTGATCCCAGCTATACCACTGGCTTGACCTGCCTGGGCTCCGTGTCTGCGCTCTCTGCCGTCATGGTAAGGGATTCACACAGGCTTCCAAAATTGTATTTATTAAATTTTTTTGGCCAGGTTATCTTTTATTAATTTCCTGAGTCTTGCTGGGTGGTTCAGATGTTTTTTTTTTTTTCCTCTTCTTTTTTGGTAGGGTTATTTTTCTGGTTTCTTGTGGTGGGGGTTTTTTTTTTTTTTGCAAATGACTTGGTAGCTGATGGCTCACATAATATTTTAATTTAAATAAAATGTTCATTTGAAATTAGCGTTGTTTGAGATATTGGCCAAAATGTTTAATTTCCAAACTAAATTGTTTTTATAATCAATAATAGTAATAATAACAGTTTTTAAGTATGTATGGCTTAAAGTTTTTTTTTTTTTTTTTACTTTTCTGTGAAATTAGGCAGATAAATTATAATGGGGAAGAAAACATGCTTTTGCATTTTTCCAGTCTCTATTGTATGTATGTGTATATATGTGTGTAAATATACAGTTTAGCCATTAAAATCACAATTTAGCTTCCGGGTTGGACATCGACATGATGGCAGCATAGAACTAGTGTTCCTGGTTGGAATAGTTTTGAAAAACCCCCTAAGATCATTAAACTAGCAATCTAAGTAATCTACTTCATAAAAATAAAATGTCCCGCCAGCGAGACCGTCGACTTGAGCCTCATTCTTAGAGAATTAAGGGACTTTCGTCGGGATAACAAAACTCAACTCGAGGACATTAAAGTGGAAATTTCGAATACCAACGCTAGACTGGAGGAGGTAGAGGGCCGAGTCTTGACAGCAGAAGAGAGAATTCAAAACGCAGAAGAGATACTCACAGGCTTGTTGAAGTTACACACCAAAATGGAAGAGAAACTTGTGGACATAGAGGGTCGTTCCAGACGGAACAATGGTAGAATATGCGGAGTTCCCGAAGGTGCCGAGAAGGACTTTCCGACAGTGGCTCTATTTCTAGAAAAATTTCTGAGAGAAAATTTAAATCTATCAGAGGACACATCACTGCAAATTGAACGTGCTCATAGAGCGCGTGGTAGACAGCCACCGGCGGACACACAACCACGATCAGTCGTGGTTAAATTTCTAAGTTTCACGACCAAAGAACAGATACTTCAACAGGCCTGGCAGATGAGAGGATTCTCTTGGCAAGGAAAGCAGATCAACTTCGATAATGATTACGCCCCTCAAGTGCTACAGATGAGAAGGGAGTACACAGAGATACGCAATGTTTTGAAAGACAGAGAAGTGAAATTTAGAACACTGTACCCCGCTCGTTTGAAGGTGCTTTATGAGGATGGAGTGAAGATATACAACACGGTCGAGGAGGCAACGCAAGACATGTCAAAGAGAGGATTCCCGGTGCAGCCCATCAGACACCCGAACACCCTCATGGAGCAGATTCAGCGAATGTCTTGGCAGAGAAGTGGCCAGAGCACGGGCAGACGCGATCTCCAATGGAGAAGAGGGCCAACGTTCAAGGAGAAGCTGCAAACTTTCCGAAGAAAGGACGGGAGTTTGCAATCTTCATAATTTATGCACGGTCCCGATTGTCTTTGTACCATAACGGTAAAGTGGTTAATACAGAGATGAGAAGCATTATGCCATTTCGGACTGGCAAAGGTATTTGAGTTAAAAAAAAAAAAAAAAAAGAGAGGGAGAGTGCGAGACGCAACGTCCTTAAATAGTTTGTTTGAACAACTTAGTTATCAGAATCAGAAGAGCTTTATTACCAAGTATGTTTACACACACAAGGAATTTGACTTGACGACAGGAGCTTCCAGTGTAGAAGAAAGTACAAACATAGTGCCAGATTTTTCTTGAATTGTAACTGTTCTTTTAAGGTATCTTTTTGTATGAGTTGTAAGCAATAGCTCCCCATGTTCTTTTGTATATAGTTGTTGTTAAGAGGAAGAAAATATAATGCGTATGTAACATTTGAGAAATTTGTTTTCAAGATTGAGGGCATACATACTCTGTATATACTCTCCATAGTAACATTAAGGTGTATGTATTTTTTCATTTATTTATTTTATTTTTTTTTCTTTATTTCTGAGAAATTATGTATGTCCTGATCTCTGTATGCATTTTCCCTCTGAAAAAAAAAAAAATATATAAAATGAAAAAAAAAAAAATCACAGTTTAAAACATTTTGCACAGTATTTACTCTAAATTCATTAAACTCATTTTTTCACATTTTGTTGTGATTATTATTTGTATTGTTTGTTGGTTGAGCCTGTCTAAAGACAATTTTCTACCCCATTGGGGATAGACAAAGCTTTTTGAATTTAGAATTTTTGAATTTGAAACACCAGAAAATGTGCACTGTCCATTGACAAGACTAGATTTGGAAGTGATGCTTGGAGGAATTCTGTAAATCAGCATGTTAAAATGTCCAAATATGACATGCTCCATCAGCCAATACATTGGCCTACCGCTATCTTAAGTAGGGACAGTTGTTTATTAAATTGCACATTTGGTTAGTATTCCATTTAGTCTTGGTATGAGGATGTAAAGATTAAGATTTTGACTGAGGTCAGAGATTGATAAGATTGTGTGCAGCTATAGCACATACAACTTCTGTTCAGTGTTTCAGAACGCCGTGACATAGGTAAACCCTGCAGCTCGTGAAACCTAAATCCCTTTGCCTTTAGCTTTATTTATTTATTTTATATAATCCATAAGAGCACACCACCATATGTTGACAGATAGAAGTAAACCACAATCATGAAATTTCGAGGGAACGCTCCCAGAGTCTTGGTAAACATTGGCGTCATGGAGCTTTCGTCATTTGTCAATAATCAGGAAGCTGACATTTTTATACAGCTCCTTTTACCTCCATAAAGTTAAACAATCACCTGCAGTATGGTGTCTGGCTCTTTTTACACCGATTATTCTTCATATTCTCCGTTTTTTTTGCTTGTTCGAAGGTATTTTTTTACATGATGTGTTGGTAGGTGGCTTTGTTTAGGCCTTTTCCCTGAGGAAGGTACATTGTTTAATAATACAGGGATGATATCATGGACGAGTGAAACGAATACTGTGTTTTGACAAACACCTCATGCCTTAATTGAAGCCCATTGCAACCAGATCTGTGTGAAATATGTTGCTCTGGCTTGCTCTATATTGCATTTCCTATTTGCATCATCACCCAGCGTGTAAATGAACAGACTCATTTTATAAAAACAAACCTTGTGTACAATGCTAATACCTCAGGCTTGTGATTTTTCTTTTGGTGGACTTTCTTTTTGTTTAAATGATGGAATCGCGTTACTGTTGTGCTTTGCTCACTTGTCATCACTGTAACCTTTGATCTCCACCCTTTTTCTCTCTCTGACCCTCTTTCTAACCCTGCTTTTTGTTGTCTTTGTAGGGCCTGACCCTGACAGCCGCCATCGGAGGGGCTGACATGCCCGTGGTGATCACAGTGCTAAACAGCTATTCCGGCTGGGCCCTGTGCGCTGAAGGCTTCCTGCTCAATAACAACTTGTTGACCATTGTGGGTGCTCTCATTGGCTCTTCTGGAGCCATCCTCTCCTACATCATGTGTGTGGTAAGTTCACAGTCTCAAAGTTCACGCCATGATTTTGTTCCCACCTCTTTTAATAATAGCATATTCTGAATGCTGGTCTAAACATTGTGGTTGTTATTAGTCTTAAAAATTGACAGTGGCAATGTTTTCTCCAGCCCACAAGCTCTAAAAATTATTTCAAATATTATGTATTTTTTTTAATGAATCTTTACATATGCATTAATATGCATTACATTTAAATATATATTATTTGACATTTATTTAAAGTTTATATAAATGTGCTATAACAGTTTTTGAAACTGCTTTTATTTGATCAACAATATATCAAAAACATTAATAATGTGAATTAGTAGTATAATTTTAAAATAACTTTGCAATTTTAATTTATTCCTGTGATGGCTGAATTTTCAGTGGTCATTACTCCAGTCTTCACTTCATCCTTTAGAAATCATTCTAATATGCTGATTTGGTGCTCACGAAGCATTTCTTATTATTATCAATGTTGAAAACAGTTGGCTGCTTAATATTTTGTGGAAACCCAGATACTTTTTTTCAGGATTATTTGAATGGAAAGTTAAAAAAGTGCACTAGTGTATAATATATAACTAAATATTGTCATTATTTTTAGGTCAGATGTTCTCAAAGTAGAAAACCCGATGACAACATGTACTTCAGATTTATGCAAAATAACACTGCCTTATTGAAATGTTATTTACTAGATTTTCGGTTGTTTCTAATAGTAATGTTATGGTTTGCATTTCAGTTATGGCTTTAAAATGAGCAAATACTTAGTTCTGATCAGTGGATCAATTCGTCTCACAGACCGTTATCAAAACTGTAAAAGGTCATGTTAAATCATTTGTGCATAACCTAATTAATATTAGATTACAAAACACATGTGTGTGAGTCTAAAATCTTGATCTCAAAAACTGGATGTTCCTGTTATAATGACTCCCATGGCTTGCACCCCAGTGGGACTTGGGAATTCAACACCACGGTTTAGTTTTATAAAGTTGGACAAATGGTACTATTTTACATGTACCTGCTTTTATCCTTCCTTCACATGCAAATTCCACTTGAGTCGCTTTGGCTATCTGGCATGCTTCTTAATATCCTGTTAATAATGGCTAAATGTCATATGGACACACATTTTCTTAACACAATCTTGTTTTATTCCGCTGAGAGGCAGTCTTCATATTCCTCATTCCTGATTTCCAATCTCTGGGTGTTTTTTCTTCCTTAGGCCATGAACCGCTCACTGGCAAATGTAATTTTGGGTGGCTACGGCACGTCATCCACCGGCACGGGCAAGCCCATGGAGATCACAGGTACCCACACTGAGGTCAACGTGGATCAGTCAGTGGAGATGATCAAGGAGGCTCAGAATATCATCATCGTTCCAGGTAATGGAGGCCCTTTGTAGCCGTGCACATCTGAAACTCCTTGGTTTAAACTAAATCTGGAGCGTACCGTCAGCGACTTCAAACAATCCTTTATGTTATGTTATGTCTGTTAAAGCAACCTTGCTTCACCCACATTACATCACTGGTAATTTTCTGACCCCTCCTGTGCGGGACAAACCCCCCAGAGTGCACCCTGAGGCCTGCTGGGGCTTGTTCTGAGGTGGTCTTGAATTCTCTCTCGTTTTTTTGAAGCCCTAGACACATTCGTGTGCACTTTTTTTATCTGTCTGTTTGGGCTCGACTCCTCTTCGGTGTGTTTTTTTTATGGAATGGCGCAGTTGGCCTCCCGTGGCATTGTTCGTGTGAGGCGAGCTGTGGAGGGTGGTGTTAGTTTTATCTCTTCTGGCAGGGTCGCGCCATTTTTCTTTTGCCCAGATACAGCTGACTGATTGAGCAGGATGTCAGAAGAACTTTAACTGTGTTTACCTTCAATACAAGTTCAGTTGGCAAATAATTTAGTTGGAGTTGAATGTTTTTCTGTGGCTGGTTCCTTTAAACCATCTTTGCATTGGTGTCCGTAATGGCCTCCAGCAATGGCAGCAACTCTCACGCTGCTTTGTTCTCCACAACGCAGTGTTTTATAGTTGCGTTTTATGGTCCGACAGCAGGTCGAGAAGATCAAGACCTTGGAGGCGACAGGACAGTGGAAAAGATGAGCGATTAGATGTGGGAATATGAACAGAAAGAAAAGGAGAAACGATAATAAACAGTGCAGTCCAGAGTAAACAAGACTGCAGGGCCAAGCACAACAGAGATGGCCCCTTTTATTTAAAACAAATGGCCGTCCAACAGGCTCTGAGGCATCCAGATTTTTCCCTCTTGACCATTGCCTGTTTAGCCACTGCCAAGATGAGAAAGCCCTTTGTTCACTGACAACACAGGCCTGACCATCGTGAGCACCAGTCTGATAATCAAGATTGTAGCTTCAAACCCTTATTCCCCATCACTGTAGTCTCCCAAATCACTGTAGGGCCCAACAAAACAGAGTTTTTTGTTTTGTGGTGTTTCTATACTGTATATTCTTTCATTTTTGTTTGTATTTTTTTTTTTCTGTTTGTGTTTGTTTTTGTTTTCTGTTTTGTGTGTGTGTTTTTGCTATGTTTTTAATTTTAATTTTATTTTGAATTTTCCATTTGGGCCATTTCAGATTTGTAATAAATGTTGATTTCTTAAAGGGAGTAAGTAATATATAATTATAGTATATAATTTATTATTATTATTATTATTTATTATTATTATTATTATTATTTATCTATCTAGCCAGCTAGATAATGTTATCTTGATGTTAACTGCAGAATTCGCAACAATGAAACATGAACAACACGAAAGATTTGCAACACGAAAGTTGCCTAATGTTTAGGTACGTTAGCTACGCTCTCGCGCTGGGCCTGGACGATCGGTCCATGCTTTTTGTTGAGCCCTGCACTGCTAAGTAACACATAATTGAACCCACTTAAATGTTCTCCTCTCGTTTGCCGCTCCATCCATCCATCAACCTCCATTGCGTTGTCTGTCCTTTTTAGTATATTTTGAATGGGGTTCCCTTGAGTCTGTTCAGTCTTTACACTGAGTAAGCAATGGCCTTGTTTCCATTTCCGCATTTTCGTATAATTTAAGTAGTCATAGTTAGTTTAGTTGATTGACAGCTGTGAAAACATTTAAGACTTTTCTGTTTAAGCTTGGAGTTTGCCAACCAGGGCTGTTTTCCTAAGCAGAAATGCCTTTAAAAAAAAAAAAGAGCTGAAAGAAATCATTAGGAGTTAGGAGGGTTAGCCGGCACGCACCGTGACATGCTTGTTTAAGTAGCATTTGAAGGCGGTTATGACAGACCTATCAGAAGGTGTCAGCAGTAACTGAGGCTTTAAACTGACGTGAGAATTTTTTATTCGTTTATCCTTACTGTAAGTGCTAAATTGGTTATTGGTGACATATCGATAAGTAAATCTGTCTTTTCTGCTCTTTCTGATCCCAGTTCAGCTAATTCTGCGCTGCTTTCAAACTACACCAAGGGTATAAAAATAAACACTTCTGTGAAATATTATTACAAATTCTAGCAACGACTTTAGATTAAAGATGTATTTCAACATGAAGCCATTTTCTCCTCTTTTTTTTTTTTTTTTTTTTTTTTTTTTTTTTTTTTTTTTCCTTGCGTGCTTTGCTCAAAAGCACATTGCCGATGATGGAGATTGTTGCATGCTGCATCAGATTATCATTCCCTGCCACTCTCTTGTGAGCTTCAGTGCCATTTCCCATAATGCAACTTGTGGGATACTTAAACAGTCAATTGTCAGTTTATTTCATTCAGTTGCCACCTTGTCAGATCTGTCGCATAAGCTAGATTCCTGTTTTCTCTCTCTCTCTACAGCTGCGGGCACTGTGTGATTGTGGAGGAGAGATGCAGACCGGAAGCTTGTGTAATTTTCGTTCATTCGTTTGATCTGAGAGCCCAACAGCTGCTGCCAATTAGAGCATTTGCAGTTGATTAGAAGGGGAGATGGGTGGCCAAAGAGTGGACAGATTAGGAAGCACACCCGCCGCTCTCCCCCTCGTTCTCTTCAGGATAATTGGCTAGGGGTGTCGTCCTGTCAAGAGGACTGTGGGTAGAATTGACACTGTGTAAACTGTCTCATCATTCCTATTAAGTTTCTGTCTGTCTGTCTCTCCATAAAGATGCTTCAGGGGTAGAGTTGGAAAGATTTGGTTCATTGAAAGGAGTTGCAAGTTTGCGGGTCATTCAGGTTTTAATTATTTCATCTGTGAACTACAAATGAGTGGGAGCAGGTCTCTTGTTTGCTTTACTCTCAAAACAGATTTTTCCTATTGTTTATAAGTTGGGATTATTTATTATGGTAAAATCAATTCACATGACACATTGAGAAAAAAGGTGAGGTATGTGCCAGGATCATGCAGAGTTCATTCGAGTTTTCCAGTGGGAGTTTCCTAGGCTTCATAATTTAGTAGCGGCTGATTTGTGCATGTCTGTTTAGGTGTGTTCCTCTTTTAAATGCTGTGTCTCTTATTTCAGGTTATGGTCTTTGTGCAGCAAAAGCTCAGTATCCTATTGCTGATCTTGTCAAGACTATGTCTGAGCAGGGCAAGAAAGTCAGGTAAGAAACATTCAAACATCTACAGTCGTTTTCAAATCTTTACTGTTGAACTGTTATTCGACACCTTATTAAGCCACGTGTGCACCACAAGATCCATGATACCAGGAGAAAGCTATCCGTTAACATTTCCCATTCATCTCAGTGGCGGATGCAGGACACCCCTTATTAGTAAACAGTGTCCTATGAATTATTGAGCTGGATGACACTTGGAATCTCCCCTTTCTTTTCCTAAATCCTCACTCTTGCTTTATTTTCTCTCCTTTGCTTCATTTCTGTAATTATATTATATAACTATTTATATGTCAAAATTGTAATGGATTTTACCTATCCAAATAATAATTATAGTTATAACAGTTGGTGGTATTTTTTTTTTTTAATTCAGCCTTTGATGTTGACTGTAACGCAAGTACAGGATTTCAATACACTGCTGAACAGACTCATGTTTATTAAAAGTCAAGCCAAAATGTCAAACATTTTCCCTTGTAGTTTAGTCTGTGTAAGTTTTAGTCTCTCTGAGGGGGTCTGAGTCTTGTCAGTACTGCTGGGTGAGTGTTTGAACTCACTAGTTGCAGGTCAGTCTGGTGATCCTCTGAATGGCAGCCTTCTCTCTCCGCTTCTCTCTGCATGTCGGACTCCTCCATTTCAAAGAGTGCTTTTGAATATCGTCATTCAGTTGCTCTATTGTCTGGGGCTTTTGTTGCCTCTCCAGTGTACATGTAATGCCCTGTGATCTGAGAGCGCAGTGTACCCCAGGCCTCCAGTGCTGTGAAAGAGCTGGTGATGAGCAGAGCGACAGGTGCAGGCTATGCAATACTTTCCACCGTCCCGGCGACGCCTCTCAGGTTGCAGGGCATGGAAAGACCGTGTGCCTGACCCTAGAGATGTTTCAACAACCATGCGCTTTCAGTATTTGTCATACTGATGAGAAGAACATGTAACACAATGTAAAAGTTTCTAGTGTTTTTTTTATGCTGTGGATGGTGGCAGTTTTTTACAATGGGACAGTGAAGAAGTGACAGGAGATAAGAAGAAAAAGAGGTGGGATGGGGGAATGACCCGAACCAGATTTGAACTTGGGTCACCTACACATAAGTGGTACCAAAGTGGTCTATAATATCTGGTCAGAGCATGCCATTAACATTCCCTTTGTTTTCAATGGTAGTTCGTCAAGTCACAAATTTAAGAGCATGGTAAAAAAATAAATAAAACGTTTGCTATTTATTGAAATTATATTTCAACTATTTTATAATTAAATGTTTATTTTTTTATTTCTATTTTTTTATTTTAAAATGTGTAATTATTTTAAAATGTATATTTTGTATGTGTATATAATTATCATATAAAAATATTTATTATTATTACTATTTGTATTTTTTTTATTATTTATATTTAAGGAATATTTTATAAATGTGTAATTTGTGTATATGTATGTATATATATATATATATATATATATATATAATTTATAAATTAATAATATTTGTTTATATTCTCTTCAGGATAATTGGCTAGGGGTGTCGTCCTGTCAAGAGGACTGTGGGTAGAATTGACACTGTGTAAACTGTCTCATCATTCCTATTAAGTTTCTGTCTGTCTGTCTCTCCATAAAGATGCTTCAGGGGTAGAGTTGGAAAGATTTGGTTCATTGAAAGGAGTTGCAAGTTTGGGCAGGAAAGCAGTCTGAATCTCCTCTGGGCTGGAAGGTCGTGGTTGAAAAGAAGCGCAGTTATTTTCAGAGCGCGTGTTGGTTCAGCGTAGTGAAACGCAGTGCGATGGTAATGGGAATAGCAGAACGGTCGGGCTGGGTTGGATGGTAGAACCGAGCTTAGGTTCGTTGTCTGCCCAGACTGTTTTGTGCATGCAGCTGCAGCTTATGTAAGCCAGCGTCAGAGTTGATTGACAAACCCCATGTCTGGAAAGTTTTGAGGCCTGTCCATTAAAGTATATTTCTTTTTAGTTGATTATTGAACATGTTTTTTTCTCATTTCCTATTTGACAAATGAGTTTACGTCAAGGAAACTGATGAACAGATGTCGGATTTGATGGAAAGCAACTGCAAGCGTGATGTGAATTTTTAATTTATTTTTTCTCCCCTCCCACTAGTAGATACTTGCTAATGTAATGGTCATCCTCTGAAAGTCTGCTTTTTCAGTAACAGTTTGGTAGGTTTTCTCCAAGGCAGTGTGGTCTTAAAAAAATGGATGAGAAAATAATTGACAATAGATGTGTAAAATAAAACACATATGAAATCAAATAGTGTATTGATCTCAAATATGTTGCACAAATTGGCTTGAATGCTCTGGAAATGGACTAATTATGAAGTAAACAACTCTTACATGTTAATTTGAACAACACTGCTTAGGTCAGGTAAATTGGTTAAAGGTGCACAACTATGCTTATCCTTATACTTGTGAATGTTTTCTGAGAATTTGCCTGATTCTACCCTTTTAGTTCTTTAATGCCGTCTGTGGCTGTTTTTAATTATAATTAAATGAACTGTATATAAAAATATAATTTTCTGAGCCCCTCTCTTTAGTTAATGTACTTGACTGATTGAATGCTCTGATAATGAAATCTGTGTGGTGGTTTTAAATTATATTTATATGTTAATTATAAAAAGATGTTTTCAAGCCTTCTCTTGAGGTTTTATTTAATTTAAAATGTAATTAATATACTTGATGGATTGAATGCTGTTTATTTCATTTATTATTTTTTTTATTGGCTTTTTTAGAAAAGTGATTAACTGGCTCTGACGGTTGATTTGTTTATTACAGTTACTGTTCCTGTCCTGTGCAAAGCTGTTTGGATAAAGTTCCTACTATTTCGTTTAGAAATAAAACGTATTGGTATTGGTTACTTTTTGGTAGTGTGAGTTAAATTGCAGTTCCTGTGCCTTTTGAATCTGAAAACAGTGTAAACCTCAACTAAAAATGTAACACAAAATTACATTGGTTAAAAAAGGCAGGCATATCACTTCCTGTGTCTCTCCTAAGCCTGTTGGCTGTGATCTTCTGTTTTTACAGTGAAGTCGTAAAGCTGCCCACGTGCCCTCGGGATCCACTCGTCTTCCTCAAGCCATTTCCCCTGAGCTCATGCACTTTACTACCTCTGGCATTAAAAAGATACCTTCAGCCGCTGCTTATTTCCTTCTCTTTTAACCTCTTACAAACACCCTAACCCCTACCCCAAAGCACTTCTACTTAACCATGTTCAAAGACTCCTGCGCGTACTGTATGGAGAGTCATCCTGCACAACCGGAAAGTGCTTTATTTGGATGCCATATGTGTATCAGGCGATCTAAGAGGTCACTGATCTGTATTGTCTGCATGTGTGTGTGTGTTCAGGTTTGGAATCCACCCTGTGGCTGGTCGTATGCCAGGCCAACTGAACGTTCTGCTGGCTGAAGCTGGTGTGCCTTATGATGTTGTGCTGGAGATGGATGAGATCAATCATGACTTCCCTGGTGTGGTATCCATTTTTTGTGTTTTTTGGTGTCATTTGTGGGATATAAAATCCATAATTGTGCTTTCCATGATTGTTTTTCAGAAACTGACCTGGTCTTGGTAATTGGAGCTAATGACACAGTCAACTCAGCGGCCCAGGAGGACCCCAACTCCATCATTGCTGGCATGCCTGTTTTGGAGGTCTGGAAGTCCAAGCAGGTGAGCATCTTATTAGTTGTTAATGCCTTGCAACTTTTAAATATGAATTATAGTCTTATAAAAATAACTTTTTTTGTAGCTGATTTCACACGATATACACAACTGTTCAAAAGTTTGGGGTTTAAAGAAATAGATTCAGCAAGGGCACATTCGGTTGTTCAAAGAAATTTATAATTTGACAAAAGATTTATATTTACAGTAGGCTAATTGTTGTTCTTTTGAACTGTCTATTCATCAAAAAATCGTGGGGAAAAATGTATACCAGTTTCCACAAAAAATATCGAGTTTTCAATTTAATTAATAATTAGAAATGTTTCTTGGGCACCAAATCAACATATTAAAATAATTTCCAAAGGATCATGTGACACTGAAGACTGGAATAATGGCTACTGAAAATTCGTCTTGGCCATCACAACAATAAATTACATTTTAAAATATATCAAAATAGAACACGGTTACTTGAAATTGGTAATAAGCTTTCACAATATTACTGTTTTTACTGTATTTTTAATTAAATAGATGCAGCCTTTGTGAGCATAAGAGACTACTTTCTAAAATATAAAAAAACCTTACAGACCTCTCAAATATTTGAACGGTACTGTACATGACATACTTCATACTCCATATGTATCAGGCTTTACATTTATGGCCTAGCTGGAATAAAAGCCAAGATAACAAGAACTGGCCTCAAGCATTGTAATATAGACCATCCCTCATTCTCCCACCCAGAGCGATATGAAAATCTCCATCCCATCCCTACAGCTGGTTCCCACTGTAACCACGCTTCGGTCCAGGTGTATCTCCAGAAAGATTCCAGCTCACGCTGCTTTCATTAGCACTGACTCGCTCGTTCTGGAATGATGACATTTCAGAGCATCCGACCGATACTTTCCCTAAAATGTGGGGCTGGCGTGCCTCACCACATGACAAGCCCACTGCGGCCAGACCTTCTCTTGGGAAATCACTCCGAGTACTGGGGCTTGACATTTGCGAATGTGCAAACACGTTGACCTTCTCCCAAGAGTAATTGCGTGTAGCTTGTTAACATGTTCCATAATTCCGTACGGAATTATGCAAACACTAGAGCTTTGAACCAAAGCCTGCCTTATTTGTAGCAACTTGGAAGTGTAGCCAAGTCACAACAAGGGAACTCGACCAACTTCGAACGTAGTGACGCTCTTGATGACATGATAGTGCGGCAGAATCTGAAGTTTCCCTGTCGATTGTCTCCTTTGGTTTCGTTATCCTCAATCTCATGCAACATCCATCCTACTGATTGCTCCCAGCCATGTTAAAGACCTTCATGTGTAACCTCATTCCCAAATGAAACCAGCTGCCCTATGAATAATTTAACAAAAGGATGTTGTCCTGTCCTGGGGGAGGCTGAGCCTGGGTAAAGTGGTCACGTGACTCTTTGAGAAGGGGGGTTGGGTGTGTCTGAACGCCATCCTGATGCCACCTGGTTGGCATTAAACATCTGCAGGGCTTTTGAAGGGCAGATGATGATATTAAAAGGATCCGCCTGCCGATTTTGAAGTCTCAAGTTGAGGGTCATTTCGTTCCAAATATCTTTCAGTGTATTGAATAACACTAAAGCTAGACCAGCGGCAAGGGCTCTCCTCTCTGGTTTTGCTTATTCAATTACCAAGTGTTCCTCCTTCCCAAACAGATGCTCTCAATCAAAGCGCTGCTCTCAACGATTTTCCCAGAAACTGCTCTGCCTAAAAACTGGTGTTCAAGACACTAATGACTCTTAATTTTGTAAATGGCAGATACTTAAATAACCATTACATGTTGGAAGCATGGGCTGTTTTTGCACCCTCTTGTACAAATCCTAAAACCGTTCTCCACCACTTCACATGCAGGTGCATGCAGTGTCTTTACAGGAATAATGTTGAAGATTTTGTGTAAACTGGCTCAACTCAATGGAAAAATCCGTTGATAATCTAAGGGCAACATACAGGATTTTATTTTGTGTGAATTTTCTAACTTATTCCAGGAAGTACCTTTGTTCCTGGATAAGACAAAATGCATCAACCTCTGCTTTCATCTCTTCAGGTCATCGTGATGAAAAGATCTCTGGGAGTTGGCTACGCTGCTGTGGACAACCCTATCTTCTACAAACCAAACACATCCATGCTTTTGGGAGATGCCAAGAAGACTTGTGATGCTCTGTCTGCCAAGGTCCGTGAGGGCTAGAGAGGAAAGAGAAGATCTGACCTTGCTTTGCACCAGATGAGTCACGGAGATGAGGAGATCGAACAAACCCAATAAACCCTTAGATATAAATTAGCACTAATAGGAACAAGCTCTTAATGACACTCTATGCCCATTTCGATTTTGCTGTAGATATAGGTAGTTTATTTAGTAATTCCAGAACTTTTGTTTTTCTTTTCATTAAATGTTCTTCTTTTGGTCCCCCATTTAAATCAAGTTAAAAGGAAAAAAAGCATTACAGCATCACATTAATTAGCATTAATAAAGCAAGTTAACCAGTTATCATCTGGTTTTGTATGTATTATAGATCCGGTTTTATATAGCACAGCAATCTGTAAAAAAAAAAAAAATTTTTTTTTTTTTTTTTTTTTTTTTGTAGGGTTAGCATACATATGACTAATTTGTTTGAAAGCCATAAACAACTCTAAACTGTATGCTTTTTTCTCCTTTTTCTTGCTTCATTGTTTATTTGCCATGTGCATTAAGTGACCAACTGGTGGTGTAAGGTGTTCAACTTTTCCAGATGCAGCTTCAGAGGACCATATCCAAACAATGCAAATTTTCTGTTAATAGCATGAAGCTTTGAAGGATTGCTGCTGAGATGAAGTCTTAGCCAATATCACTGAAGATTTACACACAGAATCCCAAACACCTGTGGCTCCTCCATAAAATGATTTGTATTCCCCAACCACTCTTAATTCAAGTGAATGTCACTGGAGCGGTGAGGTTAGTATGAGTAGTCACTGTATATCTGCCCTGTTGTCCTCCCAAATTTGTTCCCAGCAGTAATCCTCCACAGTATTTGACAGGGATTTGAACATATGTATTATACTTTACCCACCGGGACCTAATGGAGTAGATCCTACGAGATACAGGAACCAAGACAGACCATTACAACAACCTACCTCTCCACAGTTTCAACTCGACCAAAACAATCCCTCACCTCCCCAATCACACACTCCTCTGCTAATGTTCGCCTCGAGCTGGGCTGCAAGGGGCGCGTGTAGTTTGTTCCTCGATGTAGATTTTGTGGATGCAGGAAGGTGGTACACCATTCTTTGCAATTTAGATGCTGAATTTCATCTGATTCAGGAATGTTTTAATATGTGAAAAAATGAGTAAATTGTAAGGGAATCAATTGCTGCAAGGGAAAGAAAGTATTTATCGAACACCGTTCGGGTTAATACAGAGTTTTGCATTCCCTCCCGCTCCTTCAGGATGTTTTTGTAAAGACAGGTTCTTGCGTAGAAACGATGCTTTGAAAATTCTGCTTTACCGCAATACATGGGAGGGAAGAGGGTGAGTCTTCAAATGTTTCATTGTGCCATGGTGAGGAAATAATGTCATACTGTGAAATGTTTTTTCTCTCTCCACTGTATCACAGAGCATCCCTCTTAATAAACATCCTGATAAGAGAACCGATGGCACGAACGGTCATTCATTTCTCAATATCGCATGCCTTCAGTGTTGCGGGCACCACAATGCCTAGATTGGGCTGTTGAAGAAACCACTTGCATCTTCTGATGAGGGAATATCTGCGCACAAGTGACAGTGATTACCCATTGTCAGTTTTTCCTCATTTATGTCTGAAGTTAAGGGTGGAGATGTTTGCTCTGATCTCAAGTCCATGTGGGTTCTTTCACCTTTGCAACAAGTGGCACTCAGACGTGATGGTATCTTCACACACCTTTTCCCAGTCTCTCTTAAAGGGATAGTTCACCCAAAAATTAAAATTCTGTAATTATTTATTCACCCTCATGTCGTTCCAAACCCGTAAGACCTTCGTTCATCTTCGGAACACAAATTAAGATATTTTTGATTAAATGTCAGAGCTCTCAGACCCTGCATAGACCGCAACGCAACTCCATGTTCCCAGGTCCAGAAACGTAGTAAGGACATCGGCAAAACAGTCCATGTGACATCAGTGGCTCAACTTCAGTTCTGTGAAGCGACGAGAATACTTTTTGAGCGCAAAGAAAACAAAAATAACAATTTTTTCAACAATTCTTCTCCCCCGAGTTACGTCTTCTGCCATTTTAGAGAGTATCACAATGCATATGCACACTTTCCCCTAAGCGTAAACAACACCGATTACGTTCATTCGCACGCTTTCTCCCCCGAACATAAACAACGCTGATTACGTCGATTATGCTCTTGGGTACTCTCTAAAATGGCGGAAGATGTAACTCGGGGGAGAATTGTTAAATGAATTATTTTAGTTTTCTTTGCGCTCAAAAAGTATTCTCGTAGCTTCGCAAAACTGAAGTTGAGCCACTGATGTCACATGGACTGTTTTACCGATGTCCTTACTGCGTTTCTGGACCTGGGAACATTACAGTTGCGTTGCTGTCTATGCAGGGTCTGAGAGCTCTCACATTTCATCAAAAATATCTTAATTTGTGTTCCGAAGATGAACGAAGGTCTTACGGGTTTGGAACGACATGGGTGAGTAATGACAGAATTTTCATTTTGGGGTGAACTAACCCTTTAATAGGTGAGGGATTGATGGGAAAGTGCTTCAAAGAGTTATAAAAAGGTCTAAAGTTTTTTTGTTTGTTTTTTCTTCATTTATTTTGAGTCCGAATATGGTACATTTGTGATGTAGTGGGAAAAACACATTCCAGCCATTACTAGTTCATTTGTTTTGGTTCTCCATGTCTGGTCCGTCTGTTAGTTCTCTTAATTCCAGTCCTTTCAGTGTCCTGGAGGGTCTTGTAGATGTTTGTGGTCACGCTAATGAATGTGCCTGATGTTTCTACTCGCTCGTTCTCTGTAACCATGCTGAAAGCAGATAAAATGGGCCTTTGTGACTGTTTCATTACCCTACGAGTTATCTCCAGTGCTAAAAGTGCTGAAAAACACCAGATGAAATATGACTGGAACTAGCTAGGCGCACTGTGTTCCTTCACCACAAATGTGACAATACTGTGCGGTTTGTCTCTGTGATGTAAAAGGATGTGGCTTTTTTTCCCCCCTGGTGGACTGTTACTAAATCTACATTCTTGGAGTTCATCACTGATGCTCATTTCCATTGATAATCTACATCTCTATTGCAGATAGAGCCTGATCCAGTTCCATCAGCTTAAAAGTGCGTTCACACTTTGTGCTCTATGCACTCACATTTGCATTCACCTGCACATGCAGTTTGCTTACCTGCATGTTTGTAGAGCCAAAAGACGTTTGACAGAAAACAGCTGAATTCAAAGAACACCAAAGCTTTGCAGTTTGCAGTGTTTGAGTAATTTTGATTACTCTACAAATATTTGGTGCATTAACTATTTGAACGGGATCAATGGGTTCTGGAACTGTTCATACAAAGTGTGAACATTTGCATGCCAAAATTGAACATACTTTTCGTTCAACTGGCTTTCATTCATATGCATGCAGATGTGGGAGAGCGGAAACGCAAGCTCATGTGAAGACGTTTTGCATTTCGCAGTTACAAATTCGCAGGTTACAGTTCACCAGACTTGATTGTGAAGCTGTGTGACCACTAGAAGTTTTATACGTCACGCCTTGATCTTGTAGCTGTATTAAAAAATACATACATTTAAAACTGCACCATAAGTGGAGTAGATTGTATGTTTTAACATTTTGGATTTATTATTTATGTGTTGAATTTACGCTGCAGAGCGTGACATATGACCATTGCAGTGTCCGAACAAATTTTGCATGCTCCGTCTAGTGTGATCACGGCTTTATGGTCACATTTTTCTAGCACACTAGTGGTTCTAAAGCTAGATTGCAATGCAAATCTACAATAAATCAATTTTGTAATTCAAATTTACAGTACAGTATTAAATAATAATTGTGGGACCATTTTATGGACCTTAATTTCCAAAGCTGTAGTTGAATTTCATTTTCTGTTGGTATGTGGAAAATCTAGGAGTCTAAATGTAATTTAAACCTGAAAATGAACTGAATGTTGTAGGATTTTAGACCGTTTCAAACAAAAATGTTATGATGTAAAATTAATATGAAATTTTAGATTCTACACTATTTCTAGGTGACTAATCAAGCAAGTAAATGTGACACTGATCATGTGAATTTCTTTGAACAAAATTCAATGTTCTTCTATTGAAGCTCAAGATGCTCTTTGGATCATTCTGAAATGATACTGGATAAATATACTTTATTACCTATTCTGCTTTTCCATACAAATTGCTGTGCAGTTGCTGAAGTGATCTGCATGATTTTTAGTGGATTTTAGTGATAACTAGGATATTCCATGTGGTTGCTGGATTATTTACTGATCAATAAGGTAAGTCTAAGGTATTCATTTGCAGTCTAAAAAATTGATTTGGGGTATCATTCAAGTTCGTAGCAACCTGTGCAATACTTGTTCCAAACATTAACCTAAAATATGAGCAGTAGAAAATGGTGACACTTGGCTTGGCAAACACAGCTAAAAAGATTCATGCCTGCACAGAATCTCTTTGTTTGTATGGTGGCATCTTATCGTAATCCCCAAAGGTAACTGTAACTGCAGATAAAAGTGATGTCTACCCGTTGATCATCTCTCTATATGTCTTGAATCATACCCACCTGTTCCACCTGTTTGGCTCTTTTAACAGTTTAAGTACACGGAGCACCAGATGCAGCGCATGCAAGTCCCTTTCATCATCCGGCCAGCTGAACATTACTCTGATTTAAAACGCAGTGGACGGCTGTGCACAAACAGTATCTCCAAATGTCCTCTTCTAAGCTGCAGCACAGATGCTCTTAAAAGCAAATCCAACCCATTTCACTCTTAAAATAAAGATAAATGTTGACAAAGTACAACCCTCGTACCATATCCTCGCTATTAGGCCTGACATTTAAGAAACACAAACAGTTCAAGTGTCCTTTTAAGATACTTTTATTGTCTAAATTCCATGAATGTGAAGCTTTGGTTAAAATGGAGCGGTTAATGTTTTTTTTTTTTTTTTATGCTTTTGAGGTTTTGCAGAGGAGTTCTGGCCTGCTGTACAGAGGGAGCTTTTAGTAAACAGCACACAGGATTTGGCAGTGCTGTTATCAGCAATAGGGTGAATGTGAGATTGTATACTAGAAGTGGAGAGGATATTGCATGTTACTAAGTGTGTTCTTCATTGTGCTGTCTGATAGCAAGTCGTCGCTTAATAGCAGACTGTTTTATTAATATAAACGTTTTGTAGTACACATACTGTACATATATAACATGCAAAGGTGCCATGAGGACAGTCTCTCTGAGTCAAC